GATGCACTCAGGCCCAGTCTCGAGCCAACGTACATTGCACCCACTCTGGTCCTGCCTATGTTGAAGCGGTGAAGTTCGGAGTCTTTCAGGCCTCCAGAAATACTTTCGTTTGCCTCACTATGTGTATTGCCAGTTGCCTTCTTTATTAACACCTGCTTGTCACAAGTGATTGTTTTTACGCTCANTGAATTACTTGCTATTTTCTGCATGTAATCAAATTAGCCAAATCAGTTAGTACTTCGAATTGTTTAGTACTTATAAGTACATGCACAACAACATGACATCAACACTGTTGCTGTAAGAATTCTCAGCTGTTAAGGGGTTAAGGGGGACAAAAACCTAACTGGAGCTACTGCCGTTTGGATGAAGGGCATCTGCGCACAAAGTTACGTGAATAAACTCTATCAAAGAAAAGTTCTTAGAGTATAACCACTCTGGCTATTCTAGTACAGTTGACTTTAAATTTTGACAGTTCTGATCATCCTTTGTAATTGAGAAATGGAATAAAGGGTCACAAAAAATCCACACTCTAAAGTAATCTACAAACTAGGGGCAAGCTAAATCTCAGAAAAACGAATATTCTGAATGTTTCCGACTAATTAATTTCCCACTTTTCCACCGGATGAGTTCAACTTTCAGATAAGGACAGGGCTGCAGCAGTGGAATAAGGTGAAGGTATCATAAGAACAGTCTAATATCAGAGCGGAGGAGACCTTTAGAAAATAGAAAGGCCATTGCCCACTAAAATGCAATTTTATTGTTCTCAAGAGGCACCATTACAAACAAGTCTGCAGGATTAAGAAGCGATGCAAATATGAATGGAATAGATGAAGGCTTAGGGACAAGCCAACTTCCATTCCTCATGCCAGCCGCTACCGTGACAGGTCAAGAAGTATGTCATGATTTGTAACCAGTACCAGCTATCTCGCCAAATTCAAAGGAATAATTTCGAATACTAAAACAGGCTTCTTCCCGGTCTTCCCCGTTCCATCCTGCGCTACGCTAGGCATCAGGTAACGTGGAGCTGAAAGAGGCAATCGTAATGCTAAAATCGAGGAATTGGCGGAGTACTGGCAAAAACTATTGAAGATTCTCGAACCACTCATACATGGATGCGTAGGACTTCATGAGCTCGTTCCGGATGAGCGGTACAACCTTCTTGGATGCACTCAGGCCCAGTCTCGAGCCAACGTACATTGCGCCCACTCTGGTCCGGCCTATGTTGAAGCGATGAAGTTCGGAGTCTTTCAGGCCTCCAGAAATACTTTCGTTTGCCTTACTATGTGTATTGCCAGTTGCCTTCTTTATTAACACCTGCTTGTCATAAGTGATTGTTTTTACGCTCATAATGTACCAATCTCTATGTCTGCGAGTACTACGCCTAAATCTTTGCTATCTCAGAAAGCTAGGTTCAACGTAGCTATTATTTATAATAAGGAATCTGTACCTATTATTTGCCTACTTCGAGACAAAAGAAACAATCTCGGGTTTTCCTGATCGTACTGTAACATGTAAGTACAGTGTCAGTGAAAACATCTGGCTGAGTGGGAGTTTCTACAGAAGTCAGTGGTTTACGCGGAAAGGAGCATTTAGTGGGAATATCATGCTAATCTTCATCTCATCTCCGCTCGTTTTCAATCTGCTACAATTAATTCTAATAACGAATTAGGCCTATTATGAAATAGCATCAATGATAGCGAGATTCCTCGTAAGTGAGTAATTAACGCAGCGGAACTATTCAGATAGAGTAAAGTAATGTACAGTAACTCACTTTTACTTGACGTACTTGTCGAACTGCCGTCATTTCGCCTCAGTACGCGATGCTGTACTCTCACAAGGAAGCTGAGTTCACCGCAAAACCAAGACTTCGCCATCGGAGGGGGGTTGGAACCCGCGCTTGCGCTTTCTGGGCACAGGGCTCTTTATCGCTCACCCTACGTAGACCACGTTTGCCTCGCCTTCTTCTGCAGTGACTATTGTTTACTGATTACTCCTTTCTTTTGTCAACAAATAAATCATCAGCCTCTGTGCCTTCATTTGCATGGTTGGCCAGCTTTTATTGCTATGTCTCAGCTTTTCACCTGCAGAAACGATGACTCCAATTTGATAAATACTACATACATATATCTAATGATTCTACCCATGTATGAGCATGAACGGTTTCGTCATTTTCACTTTCTCAGTCGAGAAATTACTGCATCTACAATTTTCGCTGCTACCTATGACCAGTTTCACTGCTAAGAACCTTAAAACTATATGATTATTGAAACTCGAAATTGAAACATTCAAGGAACTGTTGGGAAACTGGTTGCCACCGGAAAATTCTGAAGATGTGATGTTTTTCTCAAAATTTTCGGGGGGACGGAACTTACGTGCGTCCGAGGAGGCGCGCGGCAAAGTGCGCGGCGAAGTTCGTGACGATTTGTACGACTCTGATGCCAATTTTCGGGGCACAAACTCGGAGTAAAGTAGTTCATTAGGGTCATATAACCTTCTAGTCTACTCTACTTGAGATTTGGGTCCCAGCGATAGGTTTTAGAGTCGTTCAAACCGTCACGAACTTTGTCGCGCAAATTGCCGCGCGCATCATCGGACGCACGTATGTACCCATACCCCATTTTTCGAGTTCAACTTTGATTTGGTCGTTAAAGTTCCATTGCTCACTGAACCGTCATAAGGCAGCGTCCTTTCAGATATGGCTGAAGCTCTGGAATGCTTGCGTCTTCTACGTAAGCTCGATGATGATATGACACCGGAACGAATCGTCTATGGAGTTGTCGTTGTGTCCATTACTGTTGCCGCACTTTTACTGAATTCCCTATTGATCGCTGTAATTCTCAAAACAGATATCATCCCTCGATGCCTGCGTTTATACTTGACCAGTGCAGCTACAGCTGGTATAGCTGGCGCTGTAACGAATGCTCTCACCCTAATACCAGCTATTCTATTTCGGATTCAATTAATGGATCCTATAAATATCTATCTGTCAACTCTAGATACACTTGGTTATCTCACTCTAATGCTTACTACTACGATTATTGCCGTTGATCGTTTTATATTCTTTTATATGAATGAGGTTAATTTTATATTCCGGAAAATCTTCGCTAGCTGTATCATAGTATCATAGTTAGAAGTAAGCGAGCGTAAAAGCATAAAGTGCCGTTGAGCTACTATGCAATCAGAGATTAACCATCAGATCCAACATAGGCTTAGCACCAGGTCGGTTGGCTAGCTCAAACCATTAGATCATCATATAAATAGTCTCGGGAAAGAATGGGGTTTGAAAGAGTTTTTTGCTACGTTGGTGGGCTTGGTTGGTGGTTACGGGCATGCTCGTTGCGGAGCCAAGCCATGGACTATACAGTTTAAAATTTTTTGCAGGGATGTGGTCGTGCAACGAAATCCACTTGAGAACTGAAAATTCGAGGAGCCTTGGCCCTAGAATATTCTCCAACATTCAGGCACACTCTCGGCTGAAAGCTGCTTACTATCCGCTTCCTATCTTTGCCTCGCTGCCATGGATTTTGGCGGTTATCACCACTATATGTATGAACATGTCTGGCTGCTACAAAAGGACTGATCCATTCGCGCTCTCATACACCTACGATTGCAGGTGAGTTTACAATGAGCTACTGGCAGTAAACGTTGGAGCTGCAAGAAAGTTGCTATTTGACAGAGATTACTATTTATTTAAAGGCACAGTTAACGATAAGGATAGTCCCTACGATTCCCTTCTAGGATTACCCAGTGGCCCCCAAGGTAACACAAAGGACGCGTCGGGACGAAAAATTCAATAGATAGGCTCACAAGGTTGGCCATTTGTGGGCAAAACTCCAGTCTCGGACGGGATTCGAACCCGTACTTGTCCTTTTCGGGGACCGTGCTTTTATCCCTTACACTACCGAGACCCCGCTTGCCCTCGCCTTCTTAACGGCTTATATGCCATAGCTTATCAGCACTCACTGCGACGTTAAAACAACAGTTAACGAAACAACAAGTCAATAGATAGGGCTTAATACATAGTATAAGCCCCATTACCGGGCTGGTCGACGTTCTTGCTCTTCGACCGATGATATATTAAGCGAGTGTCGAGGCGATGCAGGTTGTGCTAATCGCATCAGGACCGACACAATCAGCATGCAATCAGCTGACTGCCGAGAGGTGGAAGGTGTTTTACTACCAGTGTGTTCTTCTCTGCTATTCTTTTTGCCACTGCGGCGGTCATTTTTCTAGTTTTCTACCTAATGAGTATGAACCGTCTTTTGTTAATTCATGCTAGTGATTTTGAATGCCTTCTTCTTGTCCCTAGCGTTAATCTCACGCCGTCGCAAGGTCCGCTGTTCTTGTCAGTCGTCTCCACTTCTTTCTATGTGCGGCATCTTCAGCTGTTACTTTAGCTTCGGTAAGGACCTTCTTAATAATATCCCGCCATCACTTCTTTGGGTCACTTAATTTGAACTTCGAACTCCATTACCTCCCTCATAGGATGACTCTTTAGTCTTCTCAATACATGCCCGAACCATCGCACACACTGTTCTCTCATCTTCAGCTGGACTGAGGCTGTTGGATGGCCTGACGTGTTCATTTCTGATACAGTCCAGCCGCTTCCAACCGCAGGCCGAGCATTCTCATTTCAGCAGAGTGGAGCTGTCTTTCATGGTTTTTACTTACCATTAGGGGCCAACACTTGCTGCCGTAGAGCCGTCGCCTTACAGCTGTCCCATATCCCTTCCTTTTGAGAGTTCTGGAGCACCGACGGTCACAAAGGATACCGGTGGGCTCCCTCTACTTCATTCATAATACGCTTATTCGGGCTTTTACAACCTGGTCCATGAAACCATCAGCTGCTATACCACTCCCCAGGTAACGGCATAGACCTTTTCGATGGTTTCTCCGAGGACGATTGACTCCGTGTATTCCTCACAGCTTGGGAACTGGTGTCCTTCACGTTCCGCCAGAGCTCCTTCTCCGCCGGCCCTTTCTCCCATTTCTGCACCTAGTCCTTGTCCTCCTCCTTTTTTCTTTGTTCTTCGCTATCAGAGCGATGTCGTCAGTATAGAGGATAGCCTTCAGTGGTCCACTCAGGAGTTCTATTGTGATGCCGTTCATTGTAAGCAGAAAGAGGAACGGGGTAAGAACTGATCCCTGGTGTACCCAAACCGTGAATTCTATTGCTTTGATATGGCCGCAACTTCGAATGTACATATTGGGTTAATTTTAAATGTCGTTTTCCTGAACGCAATGACACACATTGTATAGTTCGTCCAAACACCCCTTCTTCGCCACCTTTTGGTCTTATTTCGTCCAGCTCCGTTTTCAAGGACTTTTGGTAAAGCCCTATCTCTATGGAAACTCCGATTCTTGTGCTTTTTTCGTCTTCATCGCATTATTCTTCACATTCTCTTTCATTTTTCGTCATAATCTGGATAATTCAATATTATAGTGAACTGCGCCTTCAAGTGCATGGATTTTCTCCTTGTTCCATAATTTGGTAATATCCTGGTGTGCAAAACATAGAGACGAAAGCAACTTTCGTTTAATGTACCTCTAACAGACAACATGCATATTTAGCAACTGCAGCTTTTACTCCATACTTCTGTCCTATGCCGCGTACGTGTTTCCCGGAGTAAATTTTGTGCTGTATTTATTTATTTATCTTCGAATTCTCAAAATGCGATCCCATTTACGAAAACATGGTCAATGGTTGACGGGATCAACTTTAAATAAAACGGAAATCAAAGTAGTGAGTTTTACTTTTATGGAAATGGATATTCTACATCAAATATTGCCATAATTCAGGGAAAAATAAAGATGCTCGATGATTGATCATGTCTTAAAGGCACTGTTCACGAAAAAGTGGTTTCGGAGATTTGCACATGGTTTGAATTCGAAGCCCCCTCTGATACCATTTAAGCAGGAATGAGGT